CATATACAGAACCTATGCACTGCTCTGTCTCATTTGAATGCTCAAAGTTGCTTTTCACATGGTAATTTTGCACAAATCATCCTTTTCTTTGTTCTTTTTCCCTCTATTTAGGAGCAGATGGAAAAGTTGAAGCAAAAGGCATCAAAGGTGATCAAGGTTCAAGAGGATCCCCAGGAAAACATGGGCCAAAAGGATTTGTTGGTCCAATGGGAGAGAAAGGCCTTAGAGGAGAGACTGGCCCACAGGGTCAAAAGGGGGATAAAGGTGATGTTGGTCCTATTGGTCCACAAGGACCAACGGGTGACATTGGACCTTTAGGCCCAATTGGTTTACCTGGCCCCATGGGCCCCATGGGAAAGCCTGGTCCCAAAGGAGAGGCTGGACCCTTGGGGCCCCAGGGTGAACCAGGAGTCCGAGGAATAAGAGGCTGGAAAGGGGATCGAGGAGAAAAAGGCAAAATAGGTGAGACTCCAGTTATGCCAAAAAGTGCTTTCACCGTGGGACTCACAGTGTTGAGCAAGTTTCCTTCCTCAGATGTACCCATTAAATTTGACAGGATCCTGTACAATGAGTTCAACCATTATGACGTAGCTACTGGGAAATTCACCTGCCATATTGCTGGTGTCTATTACTTCACCTACCACATCACTGTTTTCTCCAGGAACATTCAGGTATCTTTGGTCAAAAATGGGGTGAAAGTACTGCACACCAAGGACAGTTACATGAGCTCTGAAGACCAGGCCTCCGGCGGCATTGTACTGCAGCTGAAGCTTGGGGATGAGGTGTGGATGCAGGTGACAGGAGGGGACAGGTTTAATGGCTTGTATGCAGATGAGGATGATGACACAACTTTCACAGGCTTCCTTTTGTTCAGCAGCCGATGACAGAGAAGTGTTTATGAATCTACCTTTCCAATCACCAGCATTCAGGGAGATGTTATTACATGCTTTTATTTTAGCAGTTATACTCATAATAATCATAAAAAGATAAAAGTAGCAAAGTCATTCCTAAAACAGTCTCTGGAACTTACTCTCTCTTAAATGTAAATTTAAAAATTTGTGCATTGTTTATTAAACTTTCTTTGTTTTTGTCATCCCATCATTTAAGAATCCTTGACGTGTGTTTCTTGTGAGAAATGTTGTGATCCCATTTTAGTGCTCAACGGAGCCATATTATGACTTATCTTTCATATCCATTTCTGAGGATATTAGTGAGAACGAGAAGAAAAATGTTTATCCAATTTAGTGACTAATGTGTTTCAATTGATGACAGTGAGTCAGCCCAGAAAATTGCAAAATAGAAAAGAACACTTCACTCTTTCGCTCTTTTTCTAACTTACATTTCCACTGCCATTCAATTTAACTAAAAGTTGTTTAGTAAACCATTCCCCAAACTTGAATCTGTGTTAGTTGCCTAGCACTGCTGAAACAAAGTACCATGAACGGGGTGACTTCAAACAACAGAAATTTATTCTCTCACAGGTGTGGAAGCCAGTGGTCCCAATCCAGGTGTTACTAAAGCCACACTTCCTCCAAAGCTTTAAAGAAAGCTTTCTTCTGGCATCTGGTGCTCTCATGCATTCCTGGGCAGTGGCAGTATCACTCCAAGCTCTGTCTTCTCACAACCACCTTCCCCTGTGTCTGTTTATATACACAGTTCTCTTGGGCTATAAGGGTACCAGTCATATTGTGTTAAGGACCACTGTAACCCAGTAGAAATAGAAATTTGTCTTGATTTCATCTGCTTAAAATCCTATTTCCAAATAAGATTACATTCACAGATATCAAGGGATAGGGTTTTGACATTTTTTGGGAGACATAGTTCAATCTATAACACGCTGTACTCTGGTTCCCCAAAATTCATGTCTTTCCCAACATTCCCTCAAATATTTACAATTTCAGCATCAACTGTAAGTTGAAAATTTTCACCTAAAAATCATTAACTCAAATCTCAAATCATATGTAAATAATTTAAGCCAGTTATATGTGAGATCTCTTGTATGAATCATACTGGATAGAAATTTCTCTATGAACCTAAGAAACCACACAAGATATTTTTCTACACTACAATGGTGGGACAGGCATCAGATAGATAGTCCTTTTCCAAATTGAGAAGTCGGTAGTAGGAAAAAAATTACCATAGGTCCCAAACAAGTCCCAAACCTGGTAGGGCAAGTTCTATTAGATTTATTAGCTTTGCAAAAGAAAACCTCTACTTGCCAGAGACTTCAAATGGGTTACAGTTGGAAAAAGGGGATGGGAATGATTTTTTTTTTTAAGAAAACAGGGTAAAGAGAAACTTTCCCTGCAGATTACTTCTCTTATTCAGACACCCATTTTCCTTTCTTCTGGTAAAAGTATCCTAATGTCCACTCTCAGGCCAACTCTTTCAGATGAAAGATTTGACACTCTGAGATAACATTGGGTGCAGGCCTGGCTAATGAGACTAAAACCCTCTTTTCTGGCCATGGTGTCTATTTCTAAATGGCATTTGAACCAGTCCAAAACGAATGAGGTATTAACATTGGCCCCAATAGTGGAGGACATAATGATAATTTAAAAAGTTGTTTTCAGCTGAATTTCAAGCTTCACCTGGCATCCATCTTGCTAACCTATAGAATCTAAGAACGAAGCTGAAGACAGGTGGAGATAATCTATTCCTGAATTCACTCTCTGATACACGAGACCCTTTTAACTTAAACACAAGCCATCTTCAGTGGAGAAAATTTTGATGCTTAATTGTTTCATGATAAGAGGTTAGGTACCCATGAATAAAAACTAACTCTAGGTCAATGAAAGAGTCTCCTTTTAACAAAAGATAATATAAAAAGCATTTCTGGGGTCAAATACCTAACCGTATTTTCTTTTTCATATGACACACTTGATATTTTTATAATGGCCTGTGATACAGGTTAAGTCTACTATGTGGGGTGGCTGCTATGAGTTAACATAAATATCCTAAGAACCAACAAGTTACAGATAATATGACATTAATAAATATCAAGTTACAAAATTGGGGATTTTAAATGACTTTATAATTTAAAAAAGTAGAAAATGAAATCACAAAATACCTTATGTTCCAGATGAAATATAAAATATTGTTAAGCTGTAAAGAATTCTGTAGGTACACTATTGTACTTGTTTTAACTAAAAACTATTTCTTTAAACAGAACAGGGGAAAATGGTTTAATATTAACATAGATTTTTTATCTAAGCCCACAGACAATGATAATTAACTATATGAAACATTAATTCCAAAATGTTTTAACTAAATTTTAATTGCTATTATCAGTATCACTTGAGCTTTTCCTCCCTCTAGTATAAATTGAGAACAAATTCCATTTAAAACAAGATTTTGGGAGAGGAGAGTTAATTATCTGTAGAGCTCATGCATCATGCTTGGCCTTTACCACTGGTTTCTGGAAATTTAGAGAAGGCTCTTATGACTACTCAAACCCACAGGCAATGTTACAATGATTGCAGCTTTACCCAGAGCCTGAAACACTCAGTTGAGATAAAATACTGATGCAACTTCAAATAAAGTACACTTAAGAAAACATGATTTGCATAGAATAAGAGGTTCGTTTGGGTGCTTACTCCTTTGCCTAAGTTTTCTCTGGTAAACAAGGCTAATGAATCATCCTTTAACTAGATGATACAGTCCTCAGTGCTCTTTGCACTCAGACACTGACCTACAGAAGGTTTGTCTAGGTCCTGCGTAATGCTGAGATGAGATGTGGTATTTGAGGAGCTGGCAGAAGCCTGTTGAAGCAGACTTGTCCTTCTGCTTACTTTTTCAGTGTTCTCTCCTGACATCGAGTCACTGGGCTTCGCTCCTACAGAAGGAAGACTTCTCAAGGGGCTGGTCTCACACTGATCTTCCCTTTTCCAAATAGTGATCCTCTTTTCTGAACACATAAGAGCCTTTCAACAGTAGCAAACACAAGCAAACAAGCAACCCCTATGTTAGCAAAACCCTCTCGTTTAATCTCTGTGCTCTCCAGGAAGGTAGATGAGGCACCTAGTATAATTTCCTTTCTGCAGACCGAGATATTTAGGTTTAGCATCCTGGATGGGAACCTGGATGGGAACCTGGGTCTTGACTCCAGCTCTGTTGCGATTTCCATTCATTTAGAAGAGTTTAAGGAGTCCGAAGAGTCCACCCTTTCTCATGGCAGCACCATTTCACATCCTCATCCCTAAACTCGAAACATTTTCTGCTGCAAAATCATTTTGTTTCTGTTTGGTTGATTGAAGTGTGTTGAAATTTCCCCTCTCCAGGTTTATGTGCAGTTTTACAAGTCAAAATAGATCAAGATTTACTGACAGTTAATTTACTTGGTTCAACAAACCATACACACACACTTTTTTTTAATATAATAGTTTATTTTTACATTGTTTTGTATACACACACACATATTTTTAAAGATTTATTTATTTATGCATACAATTGGGGTACAGACCAGAGGTGCAAGGGGTGAACGAGGATTCACCAGAGGCAGAGTGGGGAGAAAAACAGGCCGATTGACGAAGTACACTGCTGAGGGGAGCAGCGGGTGGGTCAAGAGAGGTCTGCCATGTCATGTGGAGCATCTCTCTGGCCGGGAATCGAATTTGTGCTGAAGTCGTTTTAGCTTTATAGTGCTGTGCTTCAACTCGCTGCACCTCTAGGGAGGGCTGTATATTTAACTTAAAGCTTCTATCAGAGTGGGGGCCGATTGAACGGAGGCGTATGTGCAGTCCTGTAACGCAGCAGAAGGCATTTTGTGATTTGACCTACAGGGATTTCTAGGTGTTCACTGTCTCCTGTCCCCTGAAGAATTCATCTACAGTGAGACTTTGCCGGCCCTCGTCAAGTGGGAGGGAAGGGGAAAACACTGACCCTTCCTTACTCCAGGCACTAGGGGGCGTGAGACCGTGGCGGCGGCTGAGAAGGCGGCGTGGCGGCGCTCTTGTCCTCTGAATGCGGAGGTGCGCCCGCCGACCCGGAAGCGGGGGGCGTCTTGTGGTGCGGCGTGACCCGCTGCCTTGGAAACGCGGAGCGTGTGCTCAGGACTGGAAGAGCTAGTCAGGGTTGGGGGTCTGGTGGCGGGACGAGGGACTACGGCCCGGACAGGATGCTGTGCGCGGGAGGACTGGGAGGCCTTGGAACCCGGGCAGCGGTTCTGCAGTGGCAGCCCGCGCTCCTGGGCGGCCTCGGAGCCGGAGTCCGGGCCCGAGGGGTCAGCACCAGCTGGTCCTCTGTAGGCGCCGCCTTCAATGTGAAGCCTCAGGGCTTCCGCCTGGACCTGTTCGGCGAGCGCCGGGTGAGAGGCGCGGGATGGGGCTCACCTTGTCTCAGCGAGAGGTCGGGTAGCGAACCCACGTTGTGGAGTCGTTGCGCCGGTGGTGACCTTGCCCATCACCTCTTTGAGAGGCTGGGGTGGAAACAGCGCCGGCAGGGTTAGTGGTCAGCAAAGAGTGGGTCCCAAGAAGCTGCCTCGGCATGAGTTCCTTGCTCCACGGAAACTTTAAATAGTTCATATCGGCAGTGCTGTGACTTATGCCTGCGGATCCTGTCCTTTCACTCACTACTACCCCACGCTAAAGTTCATTTCTGCTCCAACCCAAGCCTCCTAGCCCAAGGAATGGACAGGTGGCATTAAGTTGTCTTTGTAAAGATCCAGTTGCCTTCACTTCTGTAATTGCTGAGTGTACTTATGCCCCAAACCACGTCATTTCCCCCTCAGAATTTCTTTCTTTCTTTAAACTCAAAACAGAAAAAGAAGAAAAAATAATCCTTAAAACTGTTGAGAATAGTGTAACTTTCTGTAGTGCGATGGAGTTGATGTTAATTTCTGCCTGCCTCCTGCCAGGAAGTCACTGAGTAAATTTTTTGGTTCCCTTTTATTTCGTTATTCAGGTTGCCCCAGCAAAGGTGTGGGATATTCAGTAGGACTCAATATTTACTGAATGACTGAATTGAAGGTTAAAAGAAGGCAAACTTGAACTTACCTGATGTCTGTTCTGCTGTGCATTTGTGACTTCTGTCCACTTTTAAGTTATTACATTAAATATTCTTTTATTTTTCACTATACCATTAACTTATTAACAAGAGACTAGGCTATCATTGCAGTAAACCTAATGGCATGAGTCTTCTTTTATCTGTCATTAGGTTTCCATAGGAATAAAGGGCTGGAGAAATACAACTAAGTTTAGCTTTATTTAATTTTTCTTTTGTACATCATAATTTGGGGTAGTGATACCAGATTTTCAAATCTATGAGTTAGTTTTTGACTTGAAAATAATTATGTAGGTTTTCAGCCTTACCATAATTTGTATTCTGAGGTGTATTGGAAAATAGTAAAATCTATGCTTGAATCAAATTAAGTGAATGTAAATATGAAGTTTATTTTTGGTCCTGATTTTACTCTGTCCAGACTATATATTTTTTTACCTTATTAATAAATTTTGAAGAGGCATCCCTTCTTGCAGAAACAGTAGACCTTAATGAGGCCTGAAAGTTTTCCCTCTTCATATTTCTCCCAATTAACACTGTTACTAACATGTACTAAGTTAATTAACAAAGTTAAACATCTCTTATTTATTTATTTATTTTCATTAATTGAGTTCTTCCATGTTTTAGGCAGTAAATTAGTTTAGTTAGTTTAAATGATGAAGGCCTGGTTTGCTGGGCGTTCACTTCAAGAAAGACTTCCAGACAATTTTATGGTACAGAGCTATGGAGAAAGTGTGGGCTTTAGAGATGAATGGAGCAGACTCAAGTTCTGACTTTCTCACTATTAGTGACTGCAAACATTTTTAAGTTCATAAAGTGTGTGTGCGTTGCATCTGTTAAAGGATGGGAGTGGTCCCTTGCTCTAGGTTTGTGTGATTTACTGAGAACCTTTATGCAGGATTTAGTACACTTATTGGCATGCAGTAGACATAGCTTGAATACTTGGATTTTACTTCCTGCTTTCCTGAGTGATCTAACAAGTGTGATTGAACCTGTTCAATAAGACAATCATTCCCATTAATTAGTGATTTTTATCTTTATCAAGATAGTGAAATGATTTTGTAAGCAAAAAATTTGCTGCTATTTTCAGCCAATGACTAGTCTTAACATATATATTTTTAAAAGCTTTCTAGACCATCTCTCTGTTTAATAATCAACTCTCCCATACTCTGTAGTTGTGGAGTAGTGGGTACTATCGTTGGTAGTCACTTGATATCCTAAGGATTTGACATATACTTTATAACTTTGTACCTGTATCCTGTAAGGTATGTATTGTCATCTTTTTTGTGATCTGTGCCTGATAAAAAAGTAAGCATAACCTTGACCAAGGTTGACGATTATTGTTGACTCTATTCAGTGCTTTCTATATGCCAGGTGCTGTTACTGTTTATATATATATATAATCATTTAACCCTGAGTTAAGTTTTCTGTTAGTGACTTTGAACCTATATTATTATATCCTTTTACAAAATAATTAAAAATTGAAGAAAAATTACATTGTAAGAAACTTTGTCGAATTTATGTGGAATGATGTACAGCATATGAAAGTGGTGTCTGTTCAGAAGTATATAATATACCAAAGGAAACCAAGATTTCCTTTGTGAAAAAGTATTTACATAATACCCAAAAAACAGTGTTTCCGTTTTTTCACTGGAAATATTCTTTTGACTTCAGGGTCTTTTTGGAGTTCCTGAGCTCTGTGCTCCAGAAGGATTTCGTATTGCGCAAGAAAATGCCTTGAGAAAGACAGACTTACTAGTGGAGCGCGTGTGTAGTATGCCTCCTGGACCCCAGACTGTGCTTATCTTTGATGAGCTCTCTGATTCCTTGTGCAGAGTGGCTGACTTGGTAAGATGCTGAATATAAGACTTGGAACTACTTTTTCTTATTAGCCAGTAACATTTACCCTAGGTTTGGTGGGTATACAGTACACCATAAAGTTAAAACTGTCTGGACTGTTTGATAGCTCTTGGGTGCTATATGTCCTTAGGGATGGAAAACATGTATAAGAAAAAGAATATTTAGAACTTGTAGTTTAATATGTATAATGAAATATGCATATAATATGTAATATACATGACTACTCATGTGGAAAGTATTCATTTGGAAGATTATTCATAAAATTTTGAAGTTTTAATAGAATTTATATTTTACAATGACTGTCTTATGAAGAACATCCTTTCAGAAACCTCTTCAGAAATGCCTTCCATAATCAAAAATGTGTCAACACCCTTGTGATTATATTAAAAGCTTTCATTTTTTTTCACATTTTCAAATTAAAATAGAAGTGTACTTGGGTCACTTTACCATGGAGGAAACTTACATGATTTTCTGTCAGCCCCAAGGTGCCACATTTGATTAGTCATATTAGTGAAGGGAATTAATGTGGTACATACAATCCAAAGTCAAAACTCTCACGATCCTTTCTACTTGATATTAGACCATACATACCTCCTTCTTCACGTAAATGACATTTAAGGTCTGGAGGCTATGATTTTTTTTAATAGGCTATAGGTATATTAAGTGCATTTTTCTTAACCTTATTTTTAACTTATGTTGAGATTATTAGGATATAACCCCTGTGGTAAGTTGAGGAGCTTTGTGTTAGCTTGTGGTAAAAGATCCCAGAACTCACTGTTTATTTTATTTTCTTATCTTCTATCTTAATTAAGCTGTGTCTTAGGATTTTCTCAATGTTTTTACCTTTCTCTTCACCAAAAGATTTTAACTTGTCTGCCCTCTAGCATTTCCTGTTTTCAGAGTCATATATATCTGTGAGGTGTAATAATACCTTATTTAAAAAACTTGTGATTTTTGCATGTAAATTTTGAGGTAGGAAATGTGAAGAGCCTCTCTTTATGAATTTTTAAGATTTTAACAGCTGGTAAGATCAATAGGTTTTATAAACTGTTTCCTACCGAATGGCCATTTTGTTTCTTTTCCTTTTTCACTAGGATGCTCTGTAATTGTACTATTTATCACTTTGACTTATGCATTTTTAAATGTATGCTAGTGTTTTGAATTTGAATATTGATTGTAAATTTTGCCACATGTGAATTTGTAATTTCTACATTTATTGTAATTTTACATAACTCACTTTTTAAGTGCTTTAGTACAATTGTTATGTTATTGTTACACCAAATGTATCAACCTAGTTTCACATTAAAAACTATTTGATGATAAAATTAGGAAATTTTACCTTGTGGTGACTTTATTTCATGTTGTAGTCTTAGCTTCTTGTAGAATGAGGACAAAATGTAGTTTGATTGCAATTTTTGAGTACTGTACTGTGATTAACATGAAAAGTAAGATTTGGTCTTACATAATTTTTAAAAAACAATTCTGTTAATTTTAAGTACAGTGTAGTAGCCTTTGTAGCTGTGGTAGCCATGTGCCATATAGCCTGGCCCGTTGAATTCATATTTCCTGAGAGGACTATAAAGAAGGCTACATTCTGCGTTAAGGCTAGAATGTAGTCAAATAAGTCTTGAAGCTGCTATGTGTCAATGAAAAAAAAAGTACCTAAGACTCCAAGAGTTCTCTGGAGCCTGGTTAATATGTAAGAAACTTATGAAAATAATTTTCATTAGTTTTAGAATATTTGAAGCAAGAGCTGCTTTTTTGAACTCTATTATTAGGAAGAGTTCACGTGGGGCTTCTATTTGAAGGAGAAAGTCCTTTCTAAAATAAAGTTAGTAAAAGCATTTTCTTTCTAATGAAACAAATCTAGCTCCAAGGAATAATGGAATTAAAATGTTCAGAAAAAGTTGCTTTGTCCTACTAGTTTAGGAAAATGTCAGTAATGGCACATTTTAAAACACAGGGTTTCATTTTCCCTCAGATTCTGGGAGAAAACTTTCCATCACATTCCCTTTTGGTTTTCTCTTTCCTCTTTATTAGGCTGATTTTGTGAAAATTGCTCACCCTGAGCCAGCATTCAGAGAGGCTGCAGAAGAAGCTTGTAGAAGTATTGGCACCATGGTAGAAAAGTATGTTGTTTTCCCACTTTGGTATAATATTGGGTGACAAGGTTTGATGGATTTTTCCACAGGCTCATCAAGGGGGGGCTGGTGGGGGCGCTATCCTAGCTTGACTGCTCTGGGGTGGTGGCCAAAAGGAGAGTCTGGGAGGGAGGCAGACCACCACCCTCCTCTTCCCAGCCCTGCAGTGGGACTGTGGGCTATTTATTTTTCTGTTTCTCCACTTAGTTTCCTTGTCTACAAATGAGTAATAAAATGAATTCTTTCTTAGGGTTATATGGAAACTAAGTGTCAGACTCTTAGGAAACATCTAGTATCCTTATTGTTTTTATTGTTACCTCAAGGGAAAGGTTTTTAATCACATTTTACATGTGAGTTGGGGTTACTAGGTTAATGTGTGATTAACTTGCTGCAGATTGGTGACTGGGCCCCAGTCACCAACATTATCTCAAGCAGCCTCTGTAGAGCTGGGTTTGTGGGGCCTGGGGAAAGATCATAAACCATGTGGCAACACTGAGAAGAGTTGAGGCTGTAAGCATGAGATAATTCTAAGTGATTTTGAGGTCTACTTAAGGATTTTATGTCATTTATTAGAGGTGTAGAGTACTTTCATTTTTTAGAAGTGGATAGTGTTGTATTTGAAGCTCTTAAGGGTGTGATGCATTGCCAGAAAGTATGTAAAACTCATGAGAGTGCTGGGGCCTTTGAAGGGAAAGAGGCCAGGCAGCATTAGAAAACTATTTCATTAACCTAATGTTGGGGCTTCTCCAGTTCAGCAAGCCTCTGGAGCACCTAACAAGCAGCTGAGATGGGGACTTCTTGAGAGAAGGCATTTCTTAGGGAAAAGCCCCAAGCACCTGTCTGAAGTACACCTGGTGCTGTGTTGTGCCTAGATTAAGGTCCAGTTTGATCTAGTGGACGTGGACTCTCAGTTTGGTGGGAGGATAATGGGGAACCATAATTGGTAGTGAAGCATCGTCATGTGAGTCTCTGGCTAAGGTCTTCACAGTGGAGAGCATTTCATTCTGTTGGTCTTTGCCACAGTTTGGCTGCTGCCTTGAGGCCGCTGAAGGACCTACCCCTCGCCAGAGCTTTGTTTTCTGTTCTTGCTAAGCATGCTGACTCATTTTCTCCTTTAGTCTAGCTGAGCCATAGCTTACCTAATTGCTTTAGTTCATCTTTGAAAAATAGGGTTATTATACATTCTTGTGTAGAATTGATTTATGTAGTGGAAAAAAATCTAAAATTAGACTTTTAAAAATGCCAAACATGACTTATATTTGGTAGATATAAATATTTACTGTAAAATATGGGCTATATCTCAAGATCTTACAACATAAAGTAATGTGGGAGATTTGCTCAAACTTCTAAAGTAGGTACAGCACAGTTCCTTCTAAACTGCTGTCCGTTTGATGTGGGGTAGCTCATGAGAAAGGAAGAGGTGGGCTGTAGCTTGATGTTCTCGTCAAGCTTCCTGGGCTTGATGTCTGAGAGCAGGAGAGAGCATTGTGCCTGGTCTCCTTGTTGAGTGTTTTGTAACTGGAGGTGGCCTCAGTGTTTGGGTGGCCCACAAGAACAGTGGACACAGATACCCTTTGATTTGTATGAAACGGCAGGATTTAGATTGTCAACTGGAACCTGGCCACCGTTGAATCCCACAATAGGAATTGGTCTATGGTCTTCACAACTTCACCTTCCCTGAGGGTCCTGCAGGCAGGGAGATTATATCTAGGAACAGTGCACCACTGAGCCTGAGCGAGCTATGGCTTCTTGGCATCCAGGGAAGGAGGACTCCAGACCTGCCCATGACACTGAGGTTTGGGTCGAGAGCATTTCTCAGGGGGTGGGGAGAAGGGCAGGCTGGCTCAGCCACATACCATAGCTGTGGCTCGTGATTGCTGTGCACACATTATCTCATTTAACCCTCGGAGACCTGAGGTTAATCAGCTAAGGGAGTTCAGACACTTGCCCAAGATCATGGAGTAGTAGTTGGGCCTGGGTCGGGGACCCTAGCCTCTGTTCCTGAGCTCACCTCACGGTGTGGACCTGCCGTTCTTACCCAGGTGAGACAGGTAGCCCACGTTCTACAGTACTCAGCTCAGGGCTACATGATCATGTATATTTGCATTATCTGCATTTATTTGTCCTCTCTCCTATTTTATTAAAAAGAACAAGGGACAGTTGGCAAATTTTTCACAGGAACTGGCTCTCCAAGGTAGAGGGGTCAGATGACTAGTTACCAACTTCCTCTCCTACCCTCTTTGCTCCTGCTCTTCTGACTCTAGCTGCTGACTGGGGCTATATATTTATTCTTTTACTATGCAGAACAGTTACTACCTTGACACTTTACCTATCAGATGATCTGTCCCTATAATACTAAGTCTGTTATGCTTTTGCTAGTCCAAATGAAGAAGCAAAACAAAATAATGCCCGAATCTTTGACCTCTGGGCATGAGTATGCTAGAATTTTACAGTGTTCTTTTGTTATAAAATAAAAAGTTGTTAAAATTACTTATTTTTTTCACTTGTAATTTTTTTTTAGGTTGAATACAAATGTGGAATTATATCAAAGTTTGCAAAAATTACTAGCTGACAAAAAACTTGTGGATTCTCTGGATCCAGAAACCAGGTATTTATTCTTTTGCATTTATTGTGATGTGATGATAGAGATGATACTGAAGGAATCATTTAGATGTCTCTGACCTCATAGCCTCCTTTGTCTGCAAGGTTTCTCTGAAGAGAAACCTTGTATATAATTCCTATAATCTTTAGGGCTTCACTCAGGTGAGACAGGTAGCCCACGTTCTACAGTACTCCTTGAAGATCTTTGTACTAGATTATGCTCATCCCCTTACCCTGCTTCCCCCCTCCATTTTAATAAATTTAAGCATTTTCTGTTCTGTTAGTTTATCATCTCTTTACCTTACTGAACCAGAAGCTCCTAGAGGTAGTCACTTTTCACTGCTGCAGCCTTAGCACCTACATAAGTTGGTGCTTAATCATTGAAAGAATTACTATAAACAGTTGATAATTGCACTGGTATTTGACTTTATACTTTAATGTCCTATAATTGATATCACCAGAAGATAGAAGCAAACTGATTTTATTTTCCAGGTGATTGTCAAGATAACTCTAAATTCAAAATGTCAGATTTTAAGTCAATACTTAAAATGTTTGATGCAGGATATTTCTTTGTTTAAATTTATTTATATGCAAAGTAAACTTGGCAAGGTTTTCGTTAATTTTCCTATTTGTTATTTGTTGCATAGCACACAGCTGTTTTCTTGTTTGTTTTTGCCTGCTTTTATTTATGGGGTATTTAGTTCTTTTGATTCCTTGATTCCCTCTCCTCTTGCTTCTTTCTCCCCTGCAATCCCCATTTGTAACAATTGACCCCAAGTGAAACCTTATTCTGAAAGGGTCAGTTGCTCATGGAATCTTGTGTTAATCTTGCATATGAGTACCCTGCTGTATGTAGAACACAGAGAGTGAGGCTGTCTCTGAGGTAAGACTGATCTCATAGGTATTAGATGGATACTATACTTAGCCTTAATGCATATCATTGATCTTGATGTTTAGGATACTAGTAAAGCTAGTTAATACCATCAGGGCATCATTTGTCTTTATTACAATTTTAGGCTTGGGCATTATATTGTCTTAAGTTGCAAAACAAGTAAAAGTTGAATGTCTCCCAATTGTGCCAGATTTATACTCATCTGGTACTGACTTGAGTAACACTAATAGGCTGTTGATCTGAGTTCACCAAACAGTGATTTTTTTCATATTTAATATATAAATATCACAGTGAACTGACTATAGTTATGTGCGGAATATCAATATTTTGGCCAACAGTGGACCACACATATGAAAGTGGTGTGTGTAGTAGGCGATAGCACCTGGGTTTCTGTAATGATGTTCACACAATGTCAGAATCTGATAATGACACATTTTTCAGAATATCCCTGTTGGTGACACTTGACTGTAGTTTAGTTTCAAAGGACTTGTGCTAATAGGCTACATACCATATTTCTTGATGTTACTAAAAATGCTTTAGGTAACTTGAAAATGCTCAGAGGAAAAAGAATTTGAAATTATGATTACTGAAATATCTTGGACTTGCACATTATTAAGAGAGTTGACTAGTACTTAGGAAAAACTTTATCTATGGGAAAGTGTAAGACAATGGCTAAAGTAAAGAATAACAGATCTAATAAATTATCTTGTCATGATAAGTTAATCTAATAGAATGATTGAAATTGAGTATATTGGTTTAAATGTATTATTAGATGCATTCTTTGAAATGCTAAGTTTTGGAGATATTTAAAGTATTCACAGAAAGTTGCCATTGGTCAGTAAGTTTAGAAATCTGATATAAATATATTTTCTTGAAGAATTTCTTGAAGGAGCTCAGTCATTAAGAGACCCATTTTACCTGGGGTTTTCCAAAACCATCAGGAGCTTTGTATGTGAAGACTATAACAAGTACATACTCCAGAAAATATGATGAGGGGAAATCCCAGTCATAAGAGCAGCAAAAGCCGTAATAATCTTGGACTATCAAGAGGACAAAGCATCCAGAATCTCAAACATACACACACGTACCTGAAAAGAGTGGAAGATGACATTTAAATAAAAAAGAAACTGTATTCTTAGTTAAGAAGAAAGCTCAGTGTATTCTCAACTGATCCATAAGTTTAATGCTATCTAATATATATCTAAGAGGATTATTTTTGTTACTTAAAAAGGTTTTGAAGTCAGAGAGAATATATATGTATCAGAATAAGCAAGTATAGAATGTGTATTTTAGAATAAGCAGATATAGAATAGATATACTAGAATAATCTGATATTGAAAAGTACTAAGAAGGGACTTGTTCCCAATAGTAACATATAAAAATAGTGTATTTAAAAGAACATTAGATTTAATGCCAGAATAGTCAATTTGATCAATAAAAGAATAGAGACTTTTCAGACAGACACAAATATCTAAGTGATAGTGTCATTTCACTTTAGTAGGGAAAAATTGCTTTTATTAAATGATGTTAGCCTATTGGATAAGCATTTTGGACAAAAACCACATTAATTAAATATTTAGATATTAAAAAAGAAATCATAAAGGTATTGATGCCCTTGGAATGTAGAAGGTCTTTTTTCATCTGCTAACTACATCAGACCGTGAAAGGAAAGATTGATTTAATTATATAAAAATAGCAGACATTGGTATGGTAAACCCTTTCTATATTCAAAGTGAGAATACATAAATGGGACAAAGCTTACTTATGTGATAAAGAGTTAATATGTTTACTATATTAACAAATTTACAAATTATGGGGGAGTGGGGAATAAAATGTACCCACAAAAGTGGGTAAAAGATTTGTGTGAAACTCTTTCAGTTCACAAAATTAGGAATAGCAATAGATTGAAAGGAAATTCATAAACACTTAAATAGTGGTTATTTTTGATGGCATTAGTGTCTTTTAAACATTTTCACAGTAAACCTTTTATATAATAAACTTAATATACTACAATAAACTTGTACAGTATATTCCCATCCCCAGTTTATTAACCATTACTATTTTCTTTTCTCTTATTATAATAAACATAAAATACCTTTACTAGCAAGAAAGTAGAATGTATTTTAGGTTGACTAAAGAAAGGAGATAAATGTGAGTAGAGAAAATCTGGACAGTTTATGAGCATGAGTGAAGAGTTTACATTATTGAAGAAGGTAAATGGTCTATTGAACTTTCAGAATTTTAGAACTTTAATTCTTTTCATTCAAAGTATATTGGCACAATAATCAGGAAGATAAATATATCCCTTGTGAAAAGTCAAGGAAAGCCAGAAAAGTTGATCAAATATTTGGATAATTTAATTCCAGAAGAAAAGTAGTTTTAAAAAAATATACATCATTGGCACAAAAAGGTGTTACACTTGAGATTGGTTCCAAGCATGCAGCAGGATTAAAAAAAAAAAAGAAAACAATTTTCAATAGCCAAGAAACTCCACTTCCGGCACAGCATCAAAGAATTTAATATTCTAAGTAACTGCTGCTAGTTGGATGAAAAACAGAAAATCTCATGCAGAAGGCCTTTGAAAAATTGTCCAAGTATAAACTGTTTTATGTTTTTAATTGTTGGGGTTTGGATGGAGTTGAAATACATAAGTGATTATCATGGTGACTTTCACAGTTTTATACTCTATGAATAAAGGAATAAGCTTCTACATGAATGGCTAACGTAGCTGTTTTTGCATGTTCTGTTATCCATATATTGACTTAAACACTGGGTGAAGCTGTCTTTTGTTCCTTCTGTGCTTCCTTTACCTAAATATCCATGTAAAGCATTATAACCCAGTGCAGTGCTGGTCCCCACCCTTTCACCTTTCTTTAGATGGGCTCAACACAACTTTTAAACATATTCTGTATTCTCCCAACAAATGTACATTTTTTAATTAAGTGAACTCATCATGACTATTGGGACCCATAGTTGAGGCCCCTAATTAGGTTGGTGGTGAAGGACAACATTCAAGAGACCTTACCCTGGAGAAGAGGACCTTTCTTGAGGTGCTTAGTAAGTTATGCTTAGGGCACTGACATCGTGTAGGGTGGAGGACTGGCGGCAAGGTGACCCATTAGGAGTGTCAGAAAGGCTGCCTGCAGCCTGGACTGGGTAATGGTGTAGAGGAAGAGAGAAGGGGTTTATTTGGTTGATTGTTGTGTTTCTTTCTAACCCTCCCTCATGACCAAATAAATGGTCACTTTTTATGTAGCAGTTGTTACATGCTGATAAGTAATAGTACAGTGGTATACTCCTTACATTTAGTAATACTAACAACCTTTGTGAGTTATACTTTTGTTTCTTGAACTGCTGGTATTTATCAGTCATTAGTTTATGAGTGATATTTAACTTTTATCTTTTGAAAGTCAGGGTCCATGTCTTTTTATTCTAGTATATTTGAAGGGCTATGTTTCCCAGCCTATGGACCTTGTTTTCTGTGCACATGTGAATTTTCTTCATTATGAGTTTAGTACTTTGGTTCCTCTAGTACTTATTGGGAAAGTAAAGATATTAAATTAGTATGTAATTAAAAAGAAGGGTTTGCTTCTGAGTATAAAACATCATGCATGGGGAAAATTTACAAAAATTTTCCTTTAATTTAGATGTTTTCTAATGTATTTTCTATTCTACTGTTATTTTGTCCTCATAATTATTTATATCAAGAAAAGGTTAGGGAATGTAGGACTTGTTAATTTTGTGGATGTACTTTTTTATTTTAAAAGATTTATTTATTTATGCATACAAGAACTGTGGTACAAGTCAGAGATATGAGGGTGAGAGGATTCACTGGATACAGAGTGGGGAGCAGAACAGGTTGACTGATGAAGTACACTGTTGAGGGGAGCAGCAGGCGGGTCAGGAGAGGTCTGCCATGCCATGTGGGTCACCTCCCTGGCAGGGGATCAAACTTGTGCTGCACTAGCTGTGGAAAGCTTCATAGTGCTACTCTTTAACCAATGGTACCATCAGGGAGGGCCTATGGATGTACTTTATGATCATTTATAAATGCTCATCTCTATAAAGTGTCTTTGTACTAATTCTTGAAATAGTGAGCCATTTTCCCACTCAGGTTTTAAACAAATTAAGCAGTGTGGGAATTGCTGATAAAGAGCTTGCTTTTTAATAGGGATACAGGAATAAAAGGTGATATTTTATATACTGTTGATACATCAAAGAATATTACAGACTTCTATTACCTCTTTGAACTCCCCCAAGCTCTTTATTTGTACCACTGTAATAAAATTTAATTTTTCTTATACTTTGTGTTCATTCATTCAAAAATTGTTCCCAATGGGATCATGTGTTATGAAACTGAAACAGTGCTAGACGGTGCTCTTTTGGGTCTAAGAACAGTGCCAAGGTAGAGAACAGGTCATTGTCTATGGGTTCTTACCCATGCATACAATTACAAGACCACTTAGGCTCAGGTAACAGCAACAACAGGGTTTATCTAACAAACAGGAAATAGAGAGTTTCTCTGGCCACAGAGAAAGGTGGCTGGCTTTCTCATCCCAGATAGTGTCCAATGTCTAGAGTCACAAACAAAAGGCCACTCTTGTAAGGTGGTGCTGTCTTGTTGAGAAGAGCCTGGAGCTGGTGGTACATTGGTGAGCAGTGGGCCAACCCAACTCATAGCGCTGGCTGGCGGTGCTCACAGGTGGGGCTGCTGAGATGACACCACAGCAACAGTCTGAAGGCTGGATTGGAGGCAACAGCATCAGGATGTGGTACTGGACAACAAGAAGTGGTTACCTCTCAGAGGTGACCCAGACACAGCGATGGTCACCTGTCAACTGTGCTAGATAGCACTGGCCACTAGTGCCAGTCACTGCCTGTCCCCTGGATGCTGTCTTAGAGACATTAGTGTTAATAACTCCTTGTGAGTTGTTGGCCTACACCAACAAAAATAGCTCTTTGCAACACTAGGTTGAATACTATGTTGGTCCTTTCAGGTGATGTCAGAGATTGGGGGTAGATGCGATGGTCAGGTATCTGCATGGGTCTTAAGCTTCTCTGCTTTCTTTGGAGGTTCCCCTACCCTTTTTCTCTCTTTGGGGGCCATGAACAGAGTCCTCTAAACTGATTCCTACCCTCTCTTAGATCTTTCAGGGTCTCCCACCCTACAAGCCTGATTGGATCATTTTCAGTCCAAAGTGACTGATTGGACCATTTAGTACCAAGTCTCTTATTCTTGTTTTTGATCCAAATAATTAACTGGTAAGCTAGGTTTTAACCAGCTTAGTCTATTTAAATCACACTCAATTATAACATAAAAGGAAAAATTTGGGGTCTGCACAGACCTAACCTCCCTTGACCTCAGGGCATGCTCATGGGTTGCTGGGCTCTGGACAGGAGTGGGGCTCAGTGGGGCTGGAGGCATTCTGTGTCTGATACCCCATTAGTGGGGTTCAGTGTAATAACAGAAAGAGGGGTGAGTACTGTAGCAACCCTGCAGCTGCTGTGGGCTGGACTCTTCTGGGAGCCTGCCATGTTGGCCCAAGGCCTCCATGGGCCTCTACTGCCTGTGGCTCCAGGGAGCTGCAATGCTGGAGCTGGCCCAGTAGGGCCAGGGCCCCCGGGGCTTGCTACTGCCTCCTATAATGGGGCTTGCTCCAGCACAGTCTGTCCTCCAACATTAGACTAAAGCGCAGCTTCAGTTTACTATGTAGGCAGCATGGGGTAGGTGATGGCAAGTGAGCCAAAGGAGAACTCAAAAACACACCCAGCTAGATGTTAAGCTTCTGGTTTCAGAAAAATGATCTGTGGCCCTCCCTGGTGGTGCAGGGGGTTAAAGCACAGCACTGAGAATCTAAAGCCGCTTCCGCATGAGTTCGATTCCCGCCTGCCCCAGAGGTGACCACATGGTGTGGCAGACTTCTCCTGACCCACCCACTGCTCCTCTCAGCAGTGTACTTTGGTATCTGCCTGTTCTGTTCCCCACTGTGTCTCTGGTGAAGCCTCTCACTGCCCCTGAGCCTCTGGCCTGTACCCCGGTTCTGTATGCACAAATAAGTAAATCTTTAAAAAAAAAATTGATCTGTGTGTGTAGGAGACTGGATCTGACTGGCAGTACAGTTGAAAAAAGCTGATTGGTTTTTAAGGAAAAACTTGTTTTTGTTCATCATTCTTATTGTTGTTAATTATTACTATTACCTGTTAATTGTGAAGGTCTTTATTTATAGGCGCGTGGCAGAACTGTTCATGTTTGATTTTGAAATCAGTGGAATCCATCTAGACAAAGAAAAGGTAAATCTTTCCTGTTTTCATCCTTTTACTAACTTTAGTTATCTTTGTTACATCGGTCCTTGTATTTTTTTCTGAATTAGCATATTATAAAAAAACACTTAAATTGTTTATATGATGAAATTCTTCTAGAATTTGTATTTGAATGTCGCGCTCTCTCGAAGGTGACTACTCATGCATCACAATTAAGACATTTGAGACAGCTGGGGTATTTTGATGTTAGGGAATTAGAATGAGATGAGCACTATCAGGAAAGAGGCAAGTGGATAGGAAAACTGATGCCACCAAAAGTTCTGGAACTGGAGTATAGGGGATGGTTATCAGTAAGACCTTTATACAAGTATATTTATTCTGATTATAATGTCTTTGACAGATCCACACAGTTTGTTCTGGAAGTGGTAAGCATGGATTATGCCATATTTAAACTAGCATGAGAGGGGCCTTACAAATTTGTCCACACTCTTTGTTTCACAGATATGGAAATCAAGACAAGGTGACCTGTTCACTTTGTCTAAGCTAAAGTTCCCATCTTCAGTTTCTAGGACTACTTACTCTGACCTCTGTTCTTTCTAGAATACTGTGTCCTAAGAAACTGAATGTCTCATTTTAGTATGAAGGTCAGATTTGGAAGAATGTGATTGACCATCACTTGAAAGATCTGTTTACCCTATATTCTCTCTCCTACTTCTCCCCTACTTGTGGGCACTATAGACTATTATGGGTGTCCCTCTTTCCCCGGATAAATGTTTCTTCTAATACATATAATATAAAGCCACTTAACTATTCAGAGGAACTTGTTTAGAGAATATTGGAAAGGAAAGGGAAGGGTTGTGGGGAATCACACAGTATTTTGATTGCTGCTGGATTTGAGTCATACTGAAGCCATTTCCATGTTTTTGTGGCTTTAAGGGCTCAGCACATGACTCCTGGCTTCATCCCAAGCCCAGCATTCCTCCATGCAGTCCAGGAGGCTGAGAAGTTCTACAGTAAACTCACCTCAGCTGAAATGGGCACGTTTATGCAGTACCAAGCCAGTTCTTTATTAATTCTTCTCCTACCAATTTTATAGCTATTTTTTGAGTCACCCAAATAAAATTTTGGAGTCAGTTTGCATTTTTACCATCCCCAATACTTTCATGTTAGTCACCAGGTTGTAGGGTTTTTCCATAGTTTCTCTTGCATCTTTTCTGCATCCCTGAAACAACTCACCATGATTATTCCTATCACAGAATATCTGGGCTGTGCTAAACGCCTTTGTCTTCTTCATACTCATAATTGGAACAATGTGATTAACCATCACTTGAAACATCTGCTTGCCCTATATTCTCTCTCCTATTTAAAACATTTGTTCTTTAAAATATATATTTCTTATCAGATCTTCATACCTTTGAGGCTGGTATCACTACTAGTTCTGTTTTATAGATATAAAAACTGAGATTATGTGATTTACTCAAGGTTACAGGGCTACTAGGTAGAAGAGGCTTTGGCATAAGATTGTCACTCTCCTGCTCAGTACCTATCAGTGACTTTTAGCGCCTGTTGAAAAAGTCTAAGTGGTAGTTAATGTAATAAAATAATTCACATGATCATGCCTTCCAACTCTCCCTGTGTCCCCCTGATGTAGCCTACTACACTGTCTACCTGTAGTCTTCCTCCTATTAATGCTTCATCTTGAGGTAGTATGTGATGCATTTATCATTTTCCTGGTGGAATTCTGTACTCATCTGAACTTACATTTTACTTAATTCATGCATATGGCATATCTGCCTTTATTTGAAGTTATATTTATTATAACTACAGTTATATAGTTATATGAATATTAAATTTTTCTCAAGGACAGTATGTGGGTCATATTTCTAATGCCTCCTGGTTTTGGACTTAATATAATACTGAATAAATGTTATGTGAATTATAATAATGCTAGCTAACTTTAATCAAGCTTGATTTCTTAAAGTTACTAGTAATGACAGTTACTAGTTTTATTATTTTATATAATCCTCATGAAAGGTACTTTTGAAATTTTACTGAAAAATAATCTGTGTCAAGTCAGGGTCAGAGTCACCAGCTGTTTTATCTAATGAGTGACAATGCTGCAATTAACTTCCCACAAACAAAGACACAAGAACCTACTAACTTCCTCTCTTAATTTTCATGTGTTTATTCTCAAGGGTGTTCCACTAGGACAGAATAAAAGGAACAGAAGTTACACTTTGTAAAAGAAAGGTGTTGAAATAGGCCCACTGATCTAATCTACATATTGTAAAGGCCTGTATTCTTTTCAAATTACTTATTTTTTAAGGCCTCATATGAATACAGTTTAAAGTCTCAATGGAAGTATATTATGTCTTTTAGCAATCTTTTAATAAATAACAATTTTAAAGAGTTTTTGAGAGTTCAGAAGTACTACATTTAATTATCTAGAACAATGCATATTGATGAAGCTAGGAAGTAAATCCAATTTTTAATTTTATAGGGGTTTAAATAGGTAATACATGTCAAGTAATTTTGTCCCCTGCTCCTCCTCTTTTTTAAAGAATAGGCTTTGGGCTTGTTTTGGAAGTAAAGTGTCATTTCTAGTTATTTTACCTTTTTTGTTGTTCCACTGATTACCACTAGATGGTGATAAATGACCATATCAGAAACAAAATAGGACTCAGACCATAAAAATGAGTATCTGGAAACATTTTTCCCTATGAATTTTTAATTTCTAAATTAAAAAAATTTGGTTATCAATATATGATTTTATCTGCATCTTTAAAGTGAACATATGTATCATATAGTTATTAAAAATGTAGTGTTACTCTTTTTTTTTTCAGGGTCACAGTATGGTTTAGCATTGACATTTTAGACAACTCGGATTTTTAGTGCATGTATTCTTTACCTAGTTGAGGTGCTTTATGTCACCTCTATGCTTTATGGCAAACTCATTGGGTAAATAGCTATTGTTCCCATTCTCAGAGAGCTTTTCATGTGATTTCATTTGAAGCTGGTCATGAGCCAGTTTCAGGTTCCTGTCTAATGAATGATTGAAAATTTATCTCTGCTCTTGTAGACCTAACAAATTACACGGACTGTAGTTTGTTTCATCTGAGATATTTGTTACACCACGTTTTGGTAATACACATTTTCTCTGGAAATTGTGTGAATTAAAGGTGTAACTGCAAGATAAGCCGATACCATCATGTAATTTGCATTATCACTGTGACTGTCTGAGGGCTGGAGGGACCAGGTACAACAGTTTTGGTCCCACCCTCACAGCTCCAGCTTAGTTCCCTCACCACTCACAGCCCTGATTCTCTAGCCATTCAAAAATATGCACAACTAGAGTTTTGAAAGTGCTTTGCCCACTTTTGGATGTTTATGCCACTCTGGTAAAGCACTATTTTAATTGTTTTTTCTTTACTCTACCCATTTTGTCTAAACTTTGCAGCTGTGTTTTCTAGTCTTCCCTTCAAATACTTCATTTGTTTAGTCTAAACATTTTAAGCACAGTATTTAACAGGTTCAACTAGCCCACTGTTCTCTTAACTAAGAATTTTTGGGAGGTAATGGAAGATTATTAGTGTCAAAGATTAGTTATATAACTAGTTACAAAATATAACTTTGTAAGTTATGTAAATCTTAAAGCATAGACACTATTATCAATGAGTATCACTTTTTGTCAGGATATTAAATATTAAATTGTTATATTATTTGCAGCATATAATGTATTATACACTTATGGCAAAAATATAGGCAATGTTAAGCTTTTATTATAATCATTTAATATCTTATCAAATCATAATTCAGTCATATATGTTGATTGTTCATATATGTAGATTATCTGTTAAGTAGTTGTGAAATATTATTTTAAATGCCTTTAGATAACTTTTACTCCTTCTCTCCCTCCCCTCACACATATAGCGTAAAAAAGCAGTGGACCTGAATGTTAAAATCTTGGATTTGAGTAGTTCGTTTCTTATGGGAACCAACTCTCCCAATAAAATTGAAAAGCAGCTCTTACCAGAACATATCCGCCATAACTTTATACTCACTGGTGATCATGTGGTAATTGATGGTCTACATGCAGAAGCACCTGATGACCTGGTAGGTGTATTTCATTCTCTTTATAGTTCAGGTCCCATCTGTGTTGCTACTGTTTAACCCTAAACTCTGTGATGATGTATTTAGACCTTAAAAATATCTCAGTGTTGGC